TAATTTATCATTATTCAACTAATAATTTGCAATGCAATGTGAACTTTCAGTGGGTGTGGGTGGGAGTGTGGAACCCATATATATTGGGCAGATTATGATAGTGACGTTTCAAATTCAACCGATCGAGGGAGTTCGGTTTCAATGGTGTAATGGAAACGTAAGAGACTTTGCCATCGAGGATAAGAAGAAAAGCAATTCGACTCTCGCTCCTAACTCTTTCTCTTTGATATACACATGTTTTGACTTATTTAACAAAATCCAAAACTGTTTGTTGCAAGTTGCAAACCATTTTTCATCAAAGTTTCTTTTTTATTTTCTTGATGTAAATATTGTTCATTAAGGTGCCAGCAAGCAGCTGGATCCTTTGTTTGAGGTTCACAATTAGAAATGTTGATGGTAGGGCTTGGAGGAGAAGTTTTTTAGTGTGTTTTCACACTTAAGGAGCTCCGTTAATTATTAGGGTACAATATAATGGTCTATTAATTTTAATTTGTTTCACCCAATTGTCTGGGACCTCTTGGTATTTAAGTAATGAAAGTTTTATTGTCAAAAAAATCCAAGTCTAGTATTAGAGTTCATTAAGGAACAAGAAACAAAGATTAGGAACAATTTAAAATGTTTTTTTATGAGAAAATAAATATCATTAATTAGAATCATGAGTTCAATTGGATATGACAAAACACTATGTGACTGCTTCTAAATCTTACCTAATAAAAGCTATTACTATTTGATTCCTATACCAACTTAATTAATTAGTAATTCAAGTTAGCTCAGTCCTCAAAATCACCATAAAGCCAAATAAAAAAACCTAAAATCAGGTTATAGTAAAAATTTTATTCCTAGAAGGAAACAAACCTCTTTGATCAATTGTCTTCCTATATTTTGACAATATTTTCCTAAAAATCTGTTCGGGACCCTAGCTAATCCTTTGACAAAGATCTTGCAATCACCATCTTGGTCTCCCATAGCCATCGCAGCCCCATTGTGAGAGAAAATGATATAGTTACAATGTTAGGTGTTATTATTAGTTTATAATGTGATATGTTATTATATAATTTGTTTTTTTCATTTAGATATCTATTGTCATAATATCGTATATATCAATTTATTTAATAACATATCATATTTTTTTAATATTATATCATGATTATAATATTATAACTATAATATTTTTTTTTGTACAATAACTATAATGTTTTTGTTCTTAACAAAAATATGAAAAATAAAGGTGTACAGTTTAGGCTGAAGAGTAAAAGATTAAATAATTTAACCGGCCAATAGCAAAACTAA